TTTGCTCACAAGCAGGGCTATTTTTGGGCAGGAACGCACAGGAACGGAGTTCCGGCTGGCTCCTGAGTTGGCCACGCCCACCAGGAACTCATCAGCATAATAGGCCACACCCAATAGCAGAAACTCATTAGGATTGGCTACATTCGGGGTGTGTGGCCTAACATGCAAAGGAGTTCCTGCTACAAAAAAAGCCCTGGTTTTGACAACAAACAAGGTAAACAGAATAAGAAGGGAAAGGTGGGTGTGGCTGGATGAGCACACTTCTGGTAACATGGGGGTGCGGCCTAACGAGCTGTGCTGTCAGGGGTGTGGCCTAATATGCTAATGGGTTTTGCTGTTGGGTGTGGCCTATTATGCTAATGAGTTCCTGCTGGGCTTTTTCTACAAAAAGAGCCTTGCTCACAAGACTCCACGGCTTAGAGGGAGCCTTGCTTGGGGTACGGGCAGGGAGAACTCTGTGCCTATTCTTCCTCTTCGTAGGGAATCACCACTCTGCTCTTACAAGTGTTAATAATGCCACTGGTGACAATTAAATCCTGACGGTTATGAAAATGCTGACGGCCAGTGAGAGCGCAGTACTGCCAGTGGGCCTTCTTCGTTTCTACCGTTCTGCCTTTTCCTGAGCATGCGTTTTCATAAGACCAGCCATGTGATTTGCTTTCTCCCAGATGACAAACTGCAGAACAGTAGACTGACTCTGCATGTGGGATGCCTGCTCTTTCCTAGCCTCAGAAGGGTACCACAATTTAAAGTGCTACAAGACTTGCACGCAGGCGGCTTAGTTCTGCTTGGCAACCTGCATTTCTTACCTTAGATTTCTTAATTTGTGTATATATATATATAATAGTTGCTCATCCCTTCACCTGCTGCCATGAAAGAACTGACCAGGACTTTTAATTTATGTATGGACCATGGTGTGTCCCTTCCTTCTCCTTCAACAGCAGCAATAAATTTCCTTACTTCTATATATAGAAAAGAAAGTCCCCTCTCCATAAAAATCAATGATCAGGCTTTGGTGTGACAGCCTTGGCCCAGGGTATGAGCACTGCTGAGCTGACTAGCTGACTTCTTCGTTGAGCGCATCCATTTCCACCTCTGGATCCCTCCCAAAGCTTCAGACGTAGAGGGATCATTTCCACCTCGTTGTCTCCAAGGGGTACAATCCACACGCACACTTAGGTGAGATCTTCAAATCAAGATCTCACACAGAAACAACCATGAAAGGATTTAATGATGTACAGAGAGGGCTTGCTGTTGAGCAACACTCAAGCACAAGGGCCTGCTTTTCCGTATCATCAGGCACAGTTTTCACAAGCAGCAGTAAAACCTCCTCTCTCAACTACTACAGTGGACGTAATGATCTTAATCTTGCCCTTGCTCCAAAGTTCTCAGAGGTTTCTGCCCTTCGTCATTTTATCTTCACAATAACCTTAGGAAGTAGGCTAAATTGGGGGGGGGAAGTAAACGCTCCAGGGTCACCCACACAGGCCCATAGCTACAGTGGGGCTTTGGCGAGCTCTGCCCCATTTCTTAAAGGCACAGCCCCACAAGAATTTCTCCTGTAAATGCTGTTTTCGGTCATTTTTAAACTTTTTAAAAAGGCGTATGTTCCTTTAAGCTGTAGTTGCCTAATTCCTGCACTGAGCAAGGGGGTTGGAGTAGGTGACCTCTAGGATCCCTTCTAACTCTGTGTCAAGAAACTGCTCCTTTAAAAGAGTTTTTCTGTCTTAGTGTTGGCTTTCTTGACTGCAGAAGTCATTACTCCCACCTCCCGGCTTGTTATCAGACTTGTTGCTTTGGCTGGCAGAAGTGATTAACTTGCAGCAGCTGAGAACTGTCATCTACGGTGGATGACAGCTTGCCATTTAGAGCTCTATCCTGGTAACAGCTTTCTATTGGCCAAATGGTTAAGAACATCTATGTAGAACAGACAGCTTGAGAAGACTCAGAGAGAGAAGAGACTACCTTAAAGCTCTTTTTAACTTCCACCCTGCTGTGCCTGAAAGGAAAAATAGTGAGTAGAATAGCCAGCGAGGTTTTTTGTTTTGGTTTGCATTCTTTCCTGAACTGTATACATTCTTTCCCGTATGTGTTGTTTGTCCTTTGTTTTTGTAAATAAAGTTGTATGTGTTTTTATACAAATTGGAGTGGGTCTACTGGACAAACCCATAACAAGTATTTCCAGTGGCACACCTGCCATCTACCAAGAACATTTATCCCCCCCCCCTTTCCATCCTGCTATTGTCACACTCTGTGTCTAAGATTTGCAGAAGCCTCTCTGCTTTGATTGTAAAAGGCTTGGTTCCACAGTAGCTGAGTCACTATCCTGGTAACAGGTTTCTATTGGCTAAATGGCTTTTCTTTCTGCACTGAGGACTTCAGCCCCACCAGAAGAAAAAACTGCCCCACAAGCCACAAAATCCTGGCTATGGGACCTGCACCCACAATCTCCGGGGATTACAACTGACCCCCAGATTACAGAGAAAATGGATTCTTTGGAGGGTAGACTTTATGACATCGTACCCCACTGAGGTCCCAGCCCTCCTGAGGCTCCACCCCTCCAAACTCCTGGAATTTCCCAGCCTGGAGTTGGCAATCATGGAGCTTTTGTGACCAAAGGGGGATTCTGAACTCTGTTCTAGCCTGACGATCTAAGTTGCCAGGCTGTTGATGGGTCTCTCTATACGAGAGCACATCACGCCTGTGCTGAAGGCATTGCATTGGCTGCCAATAGCATACCGGATTCACTTCAAGGTGCTGGTTTTGACCTGGGGGCCTGCCTACCTGAGGGACCGCCTTTCCCCACATGTCCCCCAGAGAGCACTGAAGTCGAGGACCCAAAACCGCCTGACTCTCCCTGGTCCAAAAGATGCCAAACTGGCCGTCACCAGAGCCAGGGCCTTCTCAGTGGTGGCTCCAAACCGGTGGAATGAGCTCCCAGAAGACATCAGAGTCCTGTGGGACCTATTACAGTTCCGCAGGGTCTGTAAAACGGAGTAGCATACCGGATTCACTTCAAGGTGCTGGTTTTGACCTGGGGGCCTGCCTACCTGAGGGACCGCCTTTCCCCACATGTCCCCCAGAGAGCACTGAAGTCGAGGACCCAAAACCGCCTGACTCTCCCTGGTCCAAAAGATGCCAAACTGGCCGTCACCAGAGCCAGGGCCTTCTCAGTGGTGGCTCCAAACCGGTGGAATGAGCTCCCAGAAGACATCAGAGTCCTGTGGGACCTATTACAGTTCCGCAGGGTCTGTAAAACGGAGCTCTTCCACCAGGCATTCGATTAGGAGCCGCCACTGAGGAATGAGTACTGAGGAAATCCACACACCTGCAGGACTGCCTCTCTTGCTGTGCCGCACTGCGACACCTCCCCTCCTCTAAGCCAAGCTTTCTGAAGATGCCACCCTGCAACTAGGTAGAATCAGTAACTGTCTGTTCACGTGTGTTCCCTGTGGTGGCTCCTATGTTATGCAGTGGTGTGCCTGAGGCTATTAGGAAGGTGTATAGAAATATTGATTTCTATAGGTTTCATGTCTCCCCTGGAATGTGTCTTGCTGATACCCTGCTGTGTTGATTTCCTATTGAAGCCATATGGCCTCAACAGGCCTGCCATATAACCCTACATTCTTCACACTTCAATGCTGGCAGAGAACAGATGTCCTAGCAAACAGGCAAAGACACATGTACGCCATGGGGTGGTTGGAATTTGGGGACCACATGACTGCAGGTGTGGCCTTCAAGAGTACTGACCATTCAGAGGTTGTCCCCATGGCAACCCAACAATTGGACACTCCCATGTCTACTCCAATTGGCCACTGCCCAGGGCTAATTTGAGACTGGGATTGCACTATATCTGGGCATTCCCAATGAGAGGAACTCTCTCTCTTCTGTTCCTGCTATCTCTGCTGCTCTGTGGACTTATCCCTGAAATGCTCTTGTCTTGCCATGTGGTCTGTGGGAGAACAAAGGATCCCCTTGTGCCTTAGAGCACATGAAGGCAAGGAGGGGATGTTCCTCCTCAAACCCCCTTGGGGGTACCTGGACTATTCCAAGGGGCAATATTGAACTCTTGGATGCTACCCTAATGTTGGTAAATATGCTTCTTACTGTTTAGTTAAGGGAAAACTTGCCTAGGCTTGTTATTTTTAAATCTTTATTAGTCTGTGCTAAGTTCTATACTGAATAAACTTATTCTGGTTTTCTAATTTGTCTGTATTGTGGTAACTGGACTTCAAGCCTTTTTCCTGTGCCTGCTGCTCGCCAAATGGCGCTACCTTGGTAAGATTAACTGCACAGCTCTAGATTGAGCTGCTATTGTATAAAGTCCTAGAGGCCAGTTAAGAGTCTGAACCTTGCTCTTGGACTGGAATGGGACTATAGTTACAAAAGGTTCTGGTGGCTATAGTGTTCTGAAATCCAGAGAGCCTACCTTTCTGGGTTATTGTGTACTGTATTGAGCCAGAGTAGAGTTTTGTTCCTAATCACTGGACTGGACTGGGGGGCAGAATCTATACAGGGGAGTTCACGGGAT